TTTTCCTTTTCCTTTTCCTGTCTGTCTGTCTTTCTGTCTTTCTTTCTCATTTGTTTGATTGGTTTTTTTTTTCTTGCTAGTTTGTTCTTGATTCTCTGCCTGTGGTTTCTGGTTTCCTAGTAAACAGGAGAATTCAAAGTGTGAGCAATGTGATTTTAGAAATCCTGCCTTTCATTTCCCTCATAGTCACCTGCACTCCAGCCTGTTGGCACATCCAGGGGACTCTTATTTCTGTTCATTTTGAATGGCTTCACAGTCATTTTATTTCTTTATCTAAAAATAATTTCTGGACTACTGTACATGTTTCAGCTTTTATTCTGGGATAGAATTTGAATGATGAATAGTGGTGAAAATAAGCAAGAATTCTGAGGATTTTGGTTTAGCAGAAGCAAGTTTGCCAGTGGTATATATTTGCCTCAGCTCTTCATATGCTGCTAATCTTATATTGCTAGAAGGATCATTGGCCTGTACGAATGTCTCAGGAGTTTTTTAATACATAAGAGAAAAGCCAGACTGAATGTATTGGAGAAGCTGCAGCTTAAAAGATTGCCTTTCTTTTCTTTTGAAAAAGCCTAGCCAACACTGGGGAGGATGGGCACAAATCAGCAATTGGCAATACTGCTAGTTTTCATTAAAGCAGAGATCTTCTTATGGGAAGCTGGAAAGATAGAAGGGAAGTGTTAAAAATCTCTACAAGCTACCCACCTGCTAGATTTTGTTAGTCATGCAATTTATGGCTAGTTGCATGAAGAAGCTTCTTTCTGGGCCTCCAGAGATTTCTCAAGTGAAAAAGTTTGTAGCCTAACAGAAATGTTGCTTTTCTTTTTACTTCACTACAGTTATGGTATAAGACTTAATTGTACTTGTCCCTGTCAATCGAAATGAACACACAGTTTCTTCCATCAGTGTTTTACCCTTTTTCCTTTCGTACTTCATTTGTTAGTAGGGTATTAGACTGGAAAAACTTGCAGGACATACTCAATTTTTTTCTTTCTTACTTACTGGAGAGGCATTAATGCTATTTAAAATACAGTGTTGATTTGCTTTCGTTCTAGTTTACTTTGACAGACCCTAGGCTAAATGTATGTTTGACCATGAATGCACTGAGAGCAGCCTGCTTAATGTCAGCATGTCTCACAAAAAGATACCAAGGAGTGATATTTAAGAGGGTGTGCAGGGCAAGGCTGAGAGGCACTACAAGTTTGTTAAGGGCTTTGTCATTGAACCTGGCTTCCTATGCTTAGGTGTGATTTTCAACTAATAATAAAATGCATGTGATACGCTCCCAAAGTGGAGAGTGGGGACAACAGAAAGTCAGAAAAGTATAATGACATTTCAAAAATGCCATGTGTCCTAAACCTTGCAAATTGTTGTTCTTTTCATTTGGCTTACTACAAATTTTTGGATATATATAATAACTAATCTCTGACAAGTTTTTTAACAGAGTAGATTAGATGTTTTTTGTAATTTAACTGCAATAAATTGTGGTTAATAAGATCACAAATGAGTGCCCTGTTTCCATGCTGCAATAGGCATTTACCCTACGTTAAAGCTATTTTAAATGGCCAAACATATTTTTTTTATGATACCATTATAAGGTTTTGTTGTGGGTTTTTTTTTTTTTAAATAAGTAGCTCTTCTAATTCTATGAGTTTTGATGGAAGGTGTTTAATTTCAGTTACTGACAGAATATTTTATCTTATTTCCCACAGATGCATACACAACCTCAGAAGTGACATACATTTGGACTTATAATGCTTCAGATTCAGTGCAGGTGGCACCAGATGGCTCAAGATTGAATCAATATGATCTTTTAGGCCAAACAATTGGAAAAGAGACAGTTAAATCAAGTACAGGTTAGTAAAAGATGTTTTGAAGAAAAAGGCACTCACTTGGCTATGAAGGCCACAAGCATTGCTGGAGGTAGTAGAAGGCTACTGAAAAAAACTGTTGCAAAATGTGAGATATTAGGTATAGTCTATTAATGTACAGTACAAGTAACACATAGCAGCACTTTACTGGTTCTTTCAAGTTAATAAATAAATAACTGATGATAGCAGAGATAAACTTGTCCCCAGTGGCTGTTTTTTAATGCTATCTGGAGCTCAGTCTTGAATCCTAATGTTTGTAACCCAGGACTGGGATAATAATTTAATTTCATTTGGTAGATGATGCTTTTTGTCTGCTAAATGGTGAAGCATGCAGGTTTCAACCATTTTTTCCTTCCATCATGTTTTTTGGCATTAAACACTGGATTATTCTACCCGACTCTAGACTGTGTTCCTACATGTGTCAGGCTGTGCTCCTACATGTGTCAGGCTGTGATGAACCCCATGATTGTCTTCTGACTGTAGATTAAGTTTTGAGGGTGCTTTTGTGTGAACACAGAGAGTTGCTTATGCACAGAAGCCTGCAGGACTGAAATTCTTGTCAGGGCATACAAAAGTTCTGTAAATTCCTGAACACTGATCTTTCTTGGAGCTCAGTGGGAATAAGGTGTAGCTGTTATATTCTGCAGGATGCTTTCTGCTACAAAATACATTCTGTGCAATTTAACCCTAGCACATTTGGTTCACATAAACGTACTAAACTTTCTTTTACCAAAGAAATAGACTTTCTTAACATGATAACCTTTTGTTTCATTGTATTTTGTTTGTTTGTGGAATCTAGGCGAATATACAGTAATGACGGCTCATTTTCACTTGAAGAGAAAAATTGGTTATTTTGTCATTCAGACTTACCTCCCCTGCATCATGACTGTCATTCTCTCTCAAGTGTCATTCTGGCTGAACAGGGAATCTGTACCTGCCAGGACAGTCTTTGGTGAGTATACTGAGTAGCATTCGCTTTGTTTGCAACAGCTGAGGCTGTTAGGAGGTATTTCTGAAGTCTTCTTGGTAAAGGCCTTTTTCATCGAAGTTGGTGTGTTTGTAGAATGTGATACTATTTCTAGTCCAAACAGCTTTCAACTACATCTTACTGGTCTCCTGACAATCTCAAAGTTTTTGGAAATTAGTACATACAAGAGACCTGTCCATATATCCTTGACTCTTTTAAGAGGAAGAAGTTTTAACAGAATGGAAAAAGATAATAGTGTTTCTTTTTTAAAAGTAAATTTAGATTATTTTCTGAAACATCTTACCTTGATATTATCCAAATATTTTGGTACTTGGTAGATAAGCACATTTCTAAATATATTTGTAAATTAAGCAAATTAAATTTGAATTTGTTGAATTACTTGAATGTGTTAAACTTTGCAAGCTGCAGTTCTTTTTAAAAAAAAACCTATTCAGGGGGTCTGGACAAAACTTTCTCACTAATTCAAATTGGGGTGTACTATACGGCAGCAAACAGCTTCAGCAATGCAAAATAATGGTGTTTCTCTTATAAGAAGGTTTTAATCTTTATAAAAGCAAAATAACAAATGTCTTTCTTATTTGCATAACTTAAAGTTCTTTTAATTTGTTTGCTTTTAAAGAAAAAGAGACTAGCACGACAAAAAAAAAGCAATGTCTGTGTGGAATCAGCCACCAGAAATGCTGCATAAAATTGTATGATTAGTCATCAGTAAACACTGTGCACTCTTCAATAAATAGGCCAAACTCAAATGCATATTAAGTATGATGCACAATAAAGCACTTACTGTCTCTCCTGGTAGAGAAAATGCCACACAAAGCATTGTGGAAAATTTGCAGGTTTGAATATGAGCCTTATTGAAGTCAGGTGAAATGGGTCAGTGGTTTTAGTGGGACCAGAATTCTACCACATTTTCTCAGGCAGTTATGAGGCAGACTTTTTTTCTTTCTTCAAAACCTTCTGTGACCATTTCTGTTTATCAAAATGCACATTCCTGTTTTCCAGCCTTGCAAATACGCTGTCAAATCCTTCTATACCTCTGTCTTTGCCCTTTTCTGTACCTCCTCCTATACATTTAGGACAGTGTAACTGGTTTGGCCAAAGAAAAGTCTCACTTCTCTTCCTAAAAGGTGCTTTCTGTTACTGGGTTGCTGGTAACAAGGCACTATGTCAGTTACAAGGTAGTAGGATAGTTTTCCTGGGATGTTGTGTCCCTTCCTGCATACCTCTTCTCTTGTTCTTCATTTATTTTTTGTTTAACATTATTATTTTTTAAATCTGTAATATCTGCATGGCAGCCTGCTGCTTTACTCTCCTGGGGTTTAGCATAATATGGATAATGAACAGTGTCCTGTTTCAGGATGTCTTGAGGGAACTGGGTAGGAGGGCTGCAAGAGCAGAACCACACAAAAATAAAAACCATAAAAATCTAAAAAAGACATAAAAATCTAAAATCTGTTTACTAACCACAATGGGTATGCTGAGGACATAACAATTTCTTTGCTAATATTTTAGTTCTGCCATACAGACATGCACCTCAAGCACCAGTCAGCACTCCGTCCCCTCCAGGCCATCTTAGGCTGGCACCCTGAACCCAGGGGAACATGTACAGGCTCTGCCTGATGGAGCAGTCTAGCATTTGCACCTCAGGCTTAGCCTTCTGCATTGTGTTGGGTGTCCCCTGAGGAGCTATTTCTTAACATTTTTTTACACTCTAGATGAGATAAGCTGCCAATGGCCTCTCTAATCACGTAGCCCCAGGTGAATCTCCCAGTCTTTCTTGCTACTTACTGGCAGCAGTTGTCACTGGGGTTTGTGATACCCTCTGGTCTCCTGCCTAAATGTGTTACAAAAATGTGGTTAGCCACAGTTTCATACAAAGTTCATATATTGCTTCTTACTGTTTTCAGGCTCACACTGAATTAACCTTGACAGTGAGAGCTGGGCAGGTACACTAAAGGTCTCGTTTGGGTGGTACTTTCAGGGAGGCTCTGTGAAGTGTCACATGAAGCCCATACTACAGATAAGTTAATAAAACAAGCTACTTCCAGCAGGGAATATAAAAACTGCAGGAGATTTTACTTTGCACTTTTATTGATCATACTTAATTTTTAGTTTTTATATGGAGTACTCACTTGCTAGATACCCCTTTTTGCATTGTATAATAAATATATCAATATTAAAATATGAATAAGTAGAAAGTACTAGTTTTAATAAAATGTTTTTCAGAATCAATGAGAAATTTATTTCAAATACCTTCTTGAGAGCTGCCAAGTCCTAGAAAAAACTAACTACTGAAGTACTCTTCCTTTCAAAGAAACATAACTCCTAGTTATTCAAAGCACCACTTAGCATTTATTATTTCATGTTTGAAAGAAGTTACTTTTCTTTCCTCTTTCTATCCTCTTACAACATAGTTTCAAGTTCTAGGTTAACATGAAGGGCTTGGTATAATGAGGCTTCTTTTATAGTTGAGCTCTTTAATCCTTTTCCTTTATGGCATCTATTTAATATTATTGACCTAAGCAACCCCAAATGAATTATGGCCTAATGTTATATTGTTTCAACTTTGCTTTAAATTATTGGAAGAAGAAAGTTTTATCATCATTAATTAAATAAGTCTTGAATGTTTTTCTCTAGCAGATAAATTTGAAAAGCATTTTATTGCATTTTTAATGAAAGGGAATAAGCCTGATTCATAATGCCTTCATTTACTGAAAGATTACAATCTGTTTCATTTAGTAATGTGTTTATTGTTCCACATTTAGTGTAAACAATATTAGCAAAACTCATCTTGTGCAGCTTATTGAATTCTTGCTTCATTTTTAATGGGTCATAACATTTAGAACCATCACATATTTTTGAATAGCAGCATTAGAAATGCAGGTGACAACAATCAGAAATTAGATTTTTAGTGCTACAGTTATCAACATGTTTTAACTCACACAGAGTAGGAGTGAGAATGTTAAAGTGAATGTAGTTAGATATATATTCTTTGATACCCAAAGCAGGCAAGAACAAAAATTAGTAGTTATTTTTTAGTACATTGTCCAAGATACAGAATGTTGAATTCATATATCTATGTTCTTTTGTCAGGACTCTGTTCTCTGTGATCATTTTATTCTTACGCCCCTGTGTTCTGCTTGTTCTTAGTTTATCTTTTCTGAACTTATATTAATTAATGTACATATTGAAGCAAAAAGCCATTTAGACCTGAAATAGATAGACTTTTTTAAGTGTGCAGCTACAAAAAGGGGAACCTAAGAAAAGTTCAAATCTGTTCTCTGGTTATTTTTACATGGGAGTTGAATAACGTAGATGCTTCCTTTTGAACAATTCCGTATATACAAAGTACCTTTTCCCATTTTGTTGAAAAAAACGTTAACTGTCTGTCTTTACTTCTCATTTCATATGCTGCAGATTACCTTTTGTTCCTTTAGAGATGTCCAACCACTCACAAATTTCAACCTATAATTTCTTAATTTGGAATTTCTGCTAACTTTAGAGATAACACTAGTGGTAAGCAGTGGGCAAGTATACCTGGAAAACTGTAACCCTTAGTTAGAGACTGGGCTGGATGCAAACAAACTAATATGTCTTCTCAGCTCAGTGGTGTGCCAAGACACTAGCTCATGTTCCAATAGTGGCATAATGACATGCAACTTTTACTGGAGCTGGGGTAAATGGCACTTGCTGTTCATCTTTGGGAATTAGCTTGGCTGTCGATCAACGGAGAACTCGGTTTCATTCCTCGGTATTGGTACAGTCTTCACTTCATGAGCACCGACTTCACAATATGTACGTGTAGCTTAACTGACTGACTGAATGCAACTTTTCTGGAAATAGATGATGTTATTGTCCTTGGCCTCCCATGCTATTTAAAAAGGCTTCTGGCCTTTTGTGTTGTTCTTTTAGTAAAAAGAGTAGACAGAGCACTTGAGCTTTTTTCTACAATCTTTCTCTCAATGGTTGTTCAGACTTACCTCCTGGTGCCTAAGCAGAATGAATTTACACTCCTTTTGTATGGTATTCTCAAGTAATACATATGCATTGCATAAGTAAAAAAGAAACAGTATGATGTGTAGCCAAATGTTATGGTATAATACTTTAAAATTACATTATCTCCAGAATTTTTAAGCTTTTGTTTAGACCTCCAACCATTTACTCTTGGAGTGATAAAATGAAGTAGTAATCTGTATCTCTGTAAAAGGGACAACAGTCTTTTCTTTCTGCTATGTTATTTGTATTTATGAATCTGTTTATCTATGGTTTTGGCCCAGGTTGAATGATCTAATTACCTAACAACATCTGCAATTACTGTTAAGAAAAAAGAGCGTAAAATAATAGAGCAATGGAATTAGCTTCCTAATATAAAAAAAGTAATTTATCAATCCTTTTGTGATATGTTCTTCAACCATTATGCGTCTCTTTGCAAAGTGCTGTGATTAAAAGATAAAATTATGGGAGGAGTAGCATGACATTATAAGAAATGGAACACATTTCAAGCATTTTGTACAAATTATTTGCAAAGCTGAAGTACCTATTTTGTTACAGAAATGTACTTTGGAAACTTGTTACTTAGGCCTTTTACTTTCATTTTGAAAGGAGATGTCCACATTCTAACATGAGAAGACTAGGACATAATTTAGTTGACTAAAATCTGTTCAAATCAGAAAAATCAGTTGATACACAAGAGGTGAAATTAGGGTCCAAAAGAACTTGTCCCTGTCAAGGAGTAGCCTGACTTTTGCACAGAAATGTGGGCATAAGCTGGTTATTATGACAGATTTTAACTTTATTATTAACTTTAATAAATATTATGTGCTAGTGCCTCCAATTTCCACTATATGTTTTCAGTTAGGCATTTCTAGTTTTTCAGTTTATGTCTTCTGCTATTGCATGGCAGTGCCCTGTACCAGGGAGACAGAAATTGTTTGCCGAAAGTTGGCTGGCTAACTTTAAACACATCTTGAATGGTATCCATCTGTCCTGGAATTCAAGATATGGCATTTTCCACATATAGAAGTTTAGTTCCAGTGAAAAGTGTTGAATTTACAACCCTGGAGATGGATATCCTCTCTCCAGTGAGCAGATGCTGTTTCAAAAGTGGCACTGTAAAAAAAAATCCTAGACAATCAAATAGGTCCAGGCTTGCTTGTCCTGAATGGATAAACCTGTAGTGACAGAAGATATTTAGCTTTTATAGCATGCACTGCTGAGAACAAAAGTTATATAGATGTTGGGGTATATTTACTATCAAGTATAAAATGCTTGGTCCTCTTCGGAGAATGGAAATGTCAATGGTTTATTTTTTGGATCCTTTTTAAAAAGACAAACTGATGACTGCTCATGGTCTCTTACAAGTTGATACCTGTCCATGTCCTTCTGGCACCCATTCAGTGGCATATTTGCTGGGTGCTGGGCTGTAGAAGATAGTTCTTGACCTGTTTATAAACTGTGGTCTTTATACATCGTAATAACATAATCTGTTAAATTATTTAGGCTGTTCAGAGTAGTATATGATTTAGGGGAGAAGATTGTTTTCCTCCAATCTTTATGGAATGAGTGTGGGGTTTTTCACAAGTTGACCATATTCCTCCACACTAATAGTTTTTCAGTCCTCATGTGTTTAGCAGTGACAAGGAGGCAGGTTATTTCCGTTTAGTCCTTTTTCATAAAGAATACTTGATAATACTAATTTTTCAAATTAACTATAATGTACAAAATCATGTCTCTTGACTGAAGAAGAATAGCAAGTATAAGAATACTAGAGATTCTTAAACTGACAGGTATCACAGATTAAATTTTCTGTCCAATTTTTTCCCACTCAACTCAAATTAAATGACTGTGGTAGTTGAACATCACTGAATTTATAGAGTGAAGGAGTAAATGAAAGTGTGTTGGCAATTGTCTGACAATGTGCTCTTTGATTAGCATTTAGGTCACAAAGTGGTGTGGCTTGCTGAACTTTTTGGCGAAATTGTCAACTGGTAGCAAGATACAAGATGTAAATTAATGACATTTTAATTGAGATGAGAAAAGGTCAGCAGTTAATCTTAAATTAGATTTCTGAAGAAGCCAATGGGGCTTCCAGAAGATTAGTTTATTCTAAAAGGTAGGACTTAAACAGAACAACAGTACCTTAACAACTGTACATATTTACATGTGGATAAGGTCACCTCATCTCTGAGAAACAATCACTTTACTGATACTTCTGTATAATTAAAATTATTTATCTGCAGCTCAGGACCAGTATTAAAATATGCATATGTTAATTTTAAGTATAAGATAGACTGCCTTTTCCCTGAGGTGCTGAAAAATAATTAAGCCATATGTTGTGTAAGTGTTAGGAGAGAATAAGTTCTTTACAAAATATACTGTCTACACATTTTCATACAATATATTATGATAGCTGCTTCCTTTTCATTGTGTAGGCTAGTAGATCTCAACAGTGTCACGGCTGGTTCCAGACCAAACCCACTTCTTTAAGTTATGGAGGCTGAAAAACAGCAATTAGAGAATTGTGTTTGCTAAGGTATCTGGATACTGGGTGACTCAGCAGGATGTTTCTGTGCCTTGTTTTCCCTTCTGCACAGGCCTTTAGAAGCGCATCAAGGGAGTGGCATTGAGACTGAGTCCACTTAGCTTTGCTCTGTCATCCTTTGTAGCACCCTCAGAGATGGAGATTCTTTAGAGGAGGGATGGAACTTGCAAAGCCTGAAGAGGTCTGAGTAGGTGTAATTGCTGCCTCTCTTCCCTCTCACACAATGGTTAAAAATGCTTCTCTTGTAGCAGAAGGAAAATTTCACCAGAACCCAGGTGACAGATTACTGACAGTGGAGGATCTGGCTTAGGGAAAGTGGCTTTGCTTCTCTTGGGCATCCTTTTACAACAATTTTATGAGTGTGTAGTTGTTGAAGCTGTGACATTCTGTTACTAATATTTCTGCCACGACATCTCCTTTGCCTGTCATGATGGAGTGTAGGTTTGCCGATCTGTGCTAAGTATATCACTTTGCGTTGCTTTTCATTCTGGAGACGTATTTAATGGCGTGCCACGAAAGGAATCGTTTAGTTTGTCTAAGTGTGATTCAGCCTGAGGTGGGAAAACTGATTTACTTAAGGAATGGAAACTGTACTTGTGGCTGTGGGTTTTGGCATGCTAAAACTGATCCAGTATAATGTTCTCTTCCTTTCCTCCCATGTATGTTTTTTCTGATTTTTTTTGAGTATAATTCCTGGCTTCCTACTGGGTCTTCGTTATATACAAAGTACTGTAAAGTGCTTTTAATAACTGCCACAGTGAAAGAACAATCTTCCTGGATTATCAAGTCTTGTTTTCTGACACAGTAAATACACAGTTATAATAATCTGACATTTCAAATCAATATGCTGTTCTAGAAAAAAATCCATGTGACCTGAATGAAAACCTGTTTATGTCTTCAACTGTGTCACTGGATGGTTAGTGAGACAGCTACTGGCAAAAAAAAAAAAAAAAAAAAATCTATAATAATGAAGGTCAATTTGTCTAGTACAGTCAGTAAAGACGGGTGCCAGACCTGCAGCCACTGCAGTGAAACCAGACACCAAACATTAACATATTAATCATTATTACTGTAATGCTGCAAAACATTATGACTCCATTAAGGAATTGTTAATTTTGTCCCTACCTGTCCTGATATCTAAAAACCAAAATAAAATACTGTCTATCTCCTGTAAATAAAACCTTCAGCTGATTAAAAAAGGGAACTTTTGGCAACAAAATTAAAATAAAGTACTTCAAAGGAAACTCCAGATGCAACCTTTAATATGCTTCTGGCAGTTTGTCAACAACTTAGATAAGCAAATTTTCCATTGTGTTTCACAAACATACCATAATAATTTTTGGGTTGTATTTTTGTTAACATTCAAAATCCAAGTAAAATTGTTGATGTTCTGTTTTTTTGTCCACTTGCAGGAGTAACAACTGTGTTGACAATGACAACATTGAGCATCAGTGCTCGAAATTCACTCCCCAAAGTCGCATATGCAACAGCTATGGATTGGTTTATTGCTGTTTGTTATGCGTTTGTATTCTCTGCATTAATTGAATTTGCTACTGTAAATTATTTCACAAAACGAGGATGGGCCTGGGATGGAAAAAGTGTAGTGAATGATAAGGTAAGTCCTAAGGAAATAGCCCTATTTCCAGTAAATTGCACTAAAACAGCTGTAATATATTGTTTTGATTACATTTCCTGTTTAAAAATTCCAAACATGATGCTTTAAATCAAAAGAATGTAGATGTATTTTCTGTCCTGAACAAAAAATATATCTGCCCTGATGTAGCTAATCTCACTTGGTCTCAATAATCCAGATTTAGTTATCAAGCACATTGTTTTTTTTATGTTGGAAACTGTCTGACTTGTTTGTTAACTACTCATTTAAAACTGTGTATCTCGTTATTCAGAAAATTTAATCCAGATTATATTGGTTGGTGGGTTGTTTTTTTTTTTTACTTAATCCAGTTGAGTTGGAAATGAGAAAAAGATTACAGAAAGGTATAATGTATATGAATTTTATTGGTAACTAAGGATCAGAAAAAACCTGAATGCCCATATAGGCAAAAGCTGTTAATAACAAAATCTAGAGGGTTTGAACATTTTCAGTATTCTGAAACTTATCCCTAATGATACTTAGACATTAACTTTTAAACTAATTTAAATAGCTGTTGTACAAAATTCTGAATACTTCTTCACCTATAATGTCTTGATGTTCTGAGTGCACGGAAACAGAGTCGTGCCTTAATTTTCTGGTATCGATTGTAGTGTAGATGTGATAGCATGAAGAAATTTTAACCTGATAGAATTTCTTATTTCGTGAACGAAATTAACTGGTGATATGCCCAAATTTGTGTCAAGCTTTACAGTTTATAATTTTAGTAACACAGAACAAATGTTAAAGCTGACATTGTTTTGACCAACTTACTGTATTACATAATTTTGTCCTGTCCTGCTCCCTGATTCTACCAATGGAAAAGGATTTCTTCTGGCAAAGAATACTCTAATTTCTGTGGTTGTCCTTAAAACAGGATAGGATATGATTTGCTTCATAGATGATAGTAGTAGACATGAAGCAAAGTTTAGTTAACTGATGATTTCTCAGCACTTTGAATGCATAAAGCACAGTGCATAAAGGAGCAAAATGTCCAGTTAATGGTAAAGGGGAATTAGAGGAAATGAGTACATAGTTTATAATTCCCTATGGCTTCTGGAAGGGCATGAACTATCCATAGCTTCAGGATCTGTATCCTCATTCTAGAAGTAGATACCAAATCACTACAAGTTTATCAGCATGTCACGAGTGAAGCTTTTCAGACTGTCGCATTGCCCTGGCATTGTAATAATGTAGGGAGCCCTTACAAACTCTCTGATCACCCTTTGGCTGTTCCTTTAGTGTTGTCTCATGATCTTATGAGTGGCAGCTGTTTAACAGCTAGGTAGTTTTCCTTCCTCGGAATGACAAAATTAGCCATTCCATTAAGATTTATATATTGTTCACATGTCTAGTTCTCTATTTTCTTCAAACTGACTTAACAAAAAGCTAAACTTTTAACATTTTCATAGTTTCTCATACAAAAAATAGGGTTCATCTTTATTTTGCAGGTCTCATTTAATGGTATTACAGATACCTTTTATAAACTTACTAAGTGTGCCTGAAAGGAAGGAATTATAGATCAATTAGAGTGTTCCTCTTGTAATTTGATTTGGTAATTTGCTCTTGTTTATGACAAATGCATCTGTGCATCTAAAGCCAGGCTTACTCCTCACCAAATAAAGTGAAATATGTTTCCTCAGTGACAGTCATCTGTGTTCATGTTATACGGAATTCCCATCTAAGTGCTGTCAACATGCAATTTATCTCACAGGAAAGCAGGTGCAGGGACAAACTACATATTTGATCAGCCCTTTTCATACTCCAGTCAATAAGAAACAATGCTGAATTCCCACCCAATCCCAGATTTTGTTTTTATGTGACATCACCTTCTGAGACAAGGTATTTGGGGCACAACATCTAACCATGAAGATCTTATCAAGATTTTTAGGTCACCCTGATAAATATCGAATTTGAGCTAATTAAAAAAAAAAAAAAGGAAATTGGGTAGATGCCTCCCAGTGGAGGCCACTTGTGCCACTTCCATTAGATTAAAAATCAAACCAAACCAATACAGCAGTTGATGATTTCTTATATGAGACAGAAATTAACTATTTCTTCATCTGTTTAATTCTGTATTTTGTGGAAGAGATGGACTGAATCTAATATTTGTTTGCCTGCTTCTAAATGATATATGGAGAGCCTTGCTTCCTGAGAAACTGAAATCCTTCCATTGTTTCCTGTAGGTTATTAGAAGTTCCTTACAAAACAGTGAATCGATTTATAGCATTACAGTCTTATTGCAGAGCTAATCTGTGTATCTATATATATATCTAAAAACTCAAGCCTGTACTCATTACCTACACATCCCTGTGTCTATCTATAGACATAGCTTCTCCATTGGACTGCTATTTGAAAGCATACGCAGTCCCATAAAAACACAGAATTGCTGAGGTTGGAAGGGACCTCTGGAGATTTTCAAATTTAACTTCCCTACTCCAAGCAGGGTCGGTCCGTGGGGTCATGTCCAGACAGCTTTTTAACATATCCAAGGACGGAGACTCCACAACCGCTCTGGGCAACCTGTTCCAGCGCTTAATCATGCTCACAGTAAAATAGGTTTTTTTGTATAAGTGGAATATTCTGTATGTCAGTTTGTGCCCATTGCCTCTTGTCCTTCCACTAGAGACCACTGGTCTTCTTTACTGTCTTCCACTAGATATTTATATACATTGATAACATTCCCTCCTGAGCCTTCTTTTCTCCAGGCTGAACAGTTCCAGCTCTCTCAGCCTTTCATACTTCACATGCTTCAGACCTTAAATCACCCTTGTGGTCCTTCGCTGGACTCACTCCATTATGTCCATGTCTCTATTGATCTGGGAAGCCCCAGAACTGGATCCAGCACTCTGGATGTGTCTCACCAGGGCTGAGTCAAGGGGAACGATCACCTCCCTTGGCTTGCTGTCAACGTCCTTTATAATGCAGCCCAGGAGGCTGTTGGCCTTCGTTGCTGTGAGGGCACATTGCTGGCTTGTGTTCAACTTGGTTTCCACCAGGCCCCCCTGCTTTCCAGCCCATTAGCCCCAACCTGTATTGGTGCATGGGGTTATTCCTCCCTACGTGGAGGACTCTTCAATTTCCCTTTGCTGAACTTCATTAAATTCTTGTCATTCCATCCCACTTTTCTTACCTTCTGTTATTTTTTCAAGTTCTAATCCCCATTTTCATCACTATTATGCATTTTTTAAACCATAATTTCTGAAAACCAGAAACAGTTCTTGGGCTAATTCTCATCTCACTTCTGCGACTACCAGGCTGGAGTCCTCCTTTCTCTTAATTGCAATCTCTTTCTGACCTCTCTGTGTGTGTCTGTGTATATATACATGTAAACACACACATATTTCTCCAGAATATCTTAAAAATGTAGACGATTACTGAAATTCCTTTATTTATTGGTAGTATGTTATGAGATGTTCAAATAATAGCGATGCTAGATTTATGTGGGAAAGGTGGCCTAAATTTCATTTTATTACAATGCCAGGTAATCTTTGTTTCCCAGTCCACTCATTCAGTCCTTCTAGTTCTCTTCAACAGAGAACATTTTAAAGATCTTGCAATTCTGTTATAAGGAGTCAGAACAGCTAGAGGAAGACCAACTCTTTTCCAGTTATCCTTACAATCCCAGTAACAGACCCTTCCTCATGTAACTTCAGTAGGGCATTTGATGGTGCAAGAGTCCCATGTTTTTAGAGCATTCTTATGTTAACTGTACCTTCTCTTTGGATAGACTAGAAGTGTCTTTTTTTATATTTGAATTTATCAGTATGATATTCCTGGTATTTATTTTAACATACTCACACATTCTCATCGGTTTCTTTTACATTTGAAATTATGTTTTATTAAGTCTATTCTGGCAAATACCTTTAAATATTTAACTTCATGCTGTCTTCCAATAGAAAAAAGAAAAAGCATCTGTCATTAAGAAAAACAATGCCTATGCAGTGGCTGTTGCCAACTATGCTCCAAATATTACCAAGGACTCAGTGCTACCAACTATCTCCAAGAGTGCTACAACTGCAGAACCCAACAAGGCAAAACCGGAAGCAAAGCCACAGGAAGCAAAGAAGACATTCAACAGCGTTAGTAAAATTGACAGAATGTCTAGAATAGTGTTTCCAGTCTTGTTTGGTACTTTTAATTTAGTGTATTGGGCTACGTATTTAAACAGGGAGCCTGTCTTACTTGGCTTTGCGCCATCAACCTAAAAGCTGAATTGCACTGAGGACTTAAAGCATCATTCTAATCAGATAGGTTGTTTGCTATGTACAGTACGACTAATAACTGCTAATCTGTGAACCATTATGTACAGAGTGTATATAGATGTCTTATCTGTGTATCTCCAAAGGAGGGACACAGTGTTAATTCATGGGTCTGTAAACAGATAGCACCCATGGCAAATACAGACAGCTCTTTAAAAGTTATACCCAGGGGAGTTCTGTTAAACTAGGATTCAAATATACAGAATTATATTCTCTCCGTACAATGAAATGAAGATATGATCCTACATAATTATTTAGGAACAGTATTTTTTTAATTTAAAGTTAAAATATTTTTCTATAAAGTAACTAATTCTACTTTAATGAAAGAAACTGTCATTTAAAAAAGTGATTTTTTTAAAAAAGTGTAATTGTTTCATACAATAGCGGTACCCATGTACATAACAGAGTACGGAGGTCATACAGTTCTACTGTTCACAAACATCCTGGATACTAGTTAGGCTGAAAAGGTAGTAAAGGCTACTATATGGCAAAAGCCTCAAGTTTCTTACTTCTGTCCTGTTTGAAGTTGTTAATAAACTCTTCTAATTGATTTCAAGGAAAAGCAAGTGTTAATCAAATTTCCAATATCAACCAACTTCCACTAGTGAAACTCTTATTCTTTTCACTATTTTACTTATTTCATGTTGCCCAGCCAGGTTGTCTGGTTTAGCAAAGTTGGATATTTTTTTGTGTTTTGCTTTTGTTCTTAATTGGATTATTGTCAGGTTCAGAAAAGCACTCGGAAATTTTTCAGGGTTAAGTATATCGGTAATATAATGCACTTTTTTTCCTTGCTTAAATGTTACCCTAAAATCTTCCATTAAAATATTTATCTGTGTTTGTCCCAGAAAGCATTGTTTTCCAGGGAAACAAGAACCATGATTTAAGTTCAGGAAATTGTCCATATAATAAAATTTACTGCTGCTTTTGTAAATTGCAACTTTACATTTCGCTGACATAACTTTACAACAACTTTGTATACTAGAAATGGTTTTGCTAAGATTTGAATGTTATTTTTTTAATAAAAGGTCATACATCATCAGTAGGTACCAACTGTATTTCATATACACAAATACAACAAAATTGGAGCTGCCATTTGCAATTTTATATGAACATTTAATACTGGTCAGTAAAATTGTTTTTCATCTGAGCCTTTGCAAAGATTCTTTATGTCCCTAAAGGCCTGGTAAATCATGACATAAGTAATAACTGTGTACTGTATTTAGATTTTAGTATACTTGGCCAATCAAAAATATTTTGATTCACACATACATTAGCAGTTATTAGTTGACCTTTAAAAAAAGATACACCTTTATGATGATGTCTTCTAGTAGAGACATATGTAGTCGTATAGTGTCATTTATTGCAGTTTTGTACAGTACTTGAGTATAGTGCATAAAATAGATATGTTCAGAGTTTAACAAAGTTGTACAAATATTTCTAAAATCAAATAAAAGAGTATCTTAAGACATGGAAATGTGCTAAAACAACATAGAAACACTGCTTTCATTTGCTGTTTTATTTTCTTGCTTTTCTTTGCTTTTAATGTGATTCTGTTTTGTACTTTGTGTGACAGTATAGATGCCAAGGTCACAAATGCATATTATTAAGAGAATTAATAGTTAAGACAGAGTTGACATCAGTAAAATAAAGACATTTTGAAGTTAAAAATGACAAGGAGAAGCATGGACAAGGTGTGTATCCCTTGAAGTCCCTCTAATTAAACTGTCAGATTAAAGCTTTCTCATCAACAGTAGTTAAAAAATTAGCACTTTACTCAGAACATTAAAATAAAAATATCCTTATTTTCATATATATTTATATATAAATGTAGATCTTCCATGTAACATGGAGATGTGTGCAATAGTGTGATTATGAGCATAAGGCTGGAAGGCAAGCAATAAAAAAAAAAAAAGGTTTTTTCATGGTATAATTATACATTTTTAAAATGTTTCATTTGTAAATTATAAATTAACCCTTTAACGTCACATTGTCCAGGTATGAATAAATATATAAATATGTACATATGTACAAATAATTGTAAATATTAGAACTGTAGAAAAATCCCTCCAGTTTTAACTCTGTTTTTGGCAAAGGGCTCTGACTGTACAGTTTAATGGAGGCCCATGCTAAACTGCTCTTGAATTTGAGTAGCTCGATTATGTTTTCTGTAGCTGAAGTTTCCTTCTTGTGACCTAGTGGGAGTTCTTACCTTCTGTTCACATCAGCAAGATCTAGGGACTCTCCAAACCTCACTGGACTGGGGTATGAGAATCAGAGGTTTGTGTTTCACCCTTGGTCACATCCCAGGTGCTCCAAAACCTTCACAATGTTTAAACAATGTTGTGTATTGCTCCATGCACGACACTGTATAGTCAGAACTCTACCCCCTACAAACATGAGTGTGCTCAGAGGCATGTTGGATTACCCGATAAGGAAGGATTTTGCATGCTTATCCAAGAATGGGACCCCTCAAAGGTTTTTAACAGTAAAAGTCTTCTCCAACAAGACTTCTCTGGAAGATAACATCTGTGTAATTCAGAGCTGCATGCAAAAAAGCGTATTTTCAGTTTGCACAAGAAGCCTGATGCTGTCTCATGTTAGTCAGCTCTGCTGCTACTGCTTTTATTTGGTACAATTATTTTTTCATTCACTGAACATTTTCTCTATGCTTGTGTTATGCTTGGAGTCAGACAAAAACCAGGTGTTTATCACATGCTAGATATATTTATCACACACTAATATAGAAAAATGGGCATACTATATGAATATTCTCAGTGAAAAATAATACATTTTAAATATTGACATGCAATTATTGTGGGCATCAGCAAGGCTTTTGAGTGCGTGCACTCCAGAAAAGTTTCACTTTTACATTTAGTTCAGTTGGTCTGTGTTAAAGCAAACTCCTTTTTTGGGAGGAAGGAGTCTGCTTTATGGTTTCACTGCTGAAACACTTACAGTGAGTAAACTGACTACATGTAAGTTGCAAAGACTAACAACTGGATACATGAATTTGAATGTAAAGATTTAAGCAAACACAGGCATTGTGCAAGAAACACTGGAATACAAGAGTTAGGCTGCCTTTCCATTTAGCGGTATCATCTGTGTCTGGGATTTTAAAGCTGATCTCACAAATTTACGTGCCAAATACCTAGAAGTTTCATTTCATTTGAGTAAAACTTGCTGGTCTTAAAAGCTTAAAGTGGGGAGAGAGAGCATGAGTGAGCAAATGCAAATCACTTTCCTATCAAAGACTTGCACATGAAATCGACCAGTGAAATTTTTGGTTGACATGTTAATCTAATTTATTTTTTTCATTATTCTTGGGTCAGAGTGTCATATTTTATGTGACTTAAGAAATTAATACAATAAATACAATGATGTAACTCTGTGGTAAACTTGGGTTAGAATTACCATAGTTCTGAACGAGGCTTATGAAATATGTTTCCAATGTAGTACTGGGGCACGTACTTCTGGATGCATCTGGACAGTAATTTAACAGTAATTCA